TGTTGGCAAATCTGCATATGTTCAGTTTTCAGAGAAGCCTAACAATCTTATCTATCCAATCACATCCGTGGCAGTAGCCCCAGAGATCATTGCAAATCAGCAAATTACACTTTACAACATTTCTGTTACTTTGAGTTTAATTTGCTTTTCCGCATCTCATTCTTAGCAGATTTAACATCAAAATTCAAACCCGGTTCTCACTCTGGAGACTCTCGACATCTGGAGTTTCGCTTGTATCTTCTGCAGATATTTCTGTTTTTGCTGGTAAACATTCTGCTTCTGTAGAAACAAAAGAAAAGAGTCATTTCAGTACTTTTAACATGTAACAGAGTTGTCAAGTTAAGGTGAGTAGTGTAAGCAGAATGAGCTTGTAGAGTAGCCGAAGAAGGCTCCACAGGGCTCTGTTAGCCTTGAGATTGTACCGTATGGCCCTGCAGTGTTTTAACCATCGGTTAGACCACTCCTGCTGTTTTCTAGATTTCTAATTTCAAATGAATGTTTTCTTTTTAAGTTTTATACCCTTAATTGCTTTTTTGTTTACCCTTGTTTTGTTCTGTATTCAGTTTCTCGGTTTGCCTTCCTCCCTTGACTGTTCAGTTAGTTTTTCTTTTGCTGCACATGCTTGTTTTTCAGTAGATATATACTGAGCCTGCTTTAATGTGTTCCCTTTCAGAGATGTTTTATTGTCGCCACTGTGTTGTTCCTCGCGTTCCTGTCTCCCGTTTCTGTCTTGGAGTGTAGATGTCTTACTTCGACGGTGTTTTGCGTTTTTCCTTTGGCCTTGTTATAATTAAGTGTTTTCAGCGCTGCCTCTTTGATTTTACTTTTTTTTTTTTTTTCCCCAGTTTTGCACTGTTTTATAAAATTATTCATCACCCCTAAAAGCTTTGTGCATGTTGTCACAGTTTTCTATGTATTTTACTGGAAATTTCCAAAACAAAAGCCATTCATAATTTTTGTAAGAGAAGAAAATATGTAGTTTTCTTAAAGTTTTCTAATAAAAATCAGAGAGTATGCCTTGCATTTGTATTCATCCAGGACCACATTTTGCTCTAATAACAGCTGGAAGTCTTTTAGATGTTTATTTCTACAAGCTGTGCACATCTAGTGAGAGGCATTTCTGCTGATTCCTCTTACTAAAATTGCCCACGCTCTGTTATATTGGCTAAGGGAGCATATGTGAATCCTACTTTGCGATTTTTGCTGCAACCTTTCCATGTTTTGTTTTTTTATGGGCTTTGACTGGGCCGTTCTAACGTGACTGTGGTTTGATCTAAACCAGTAAATCTCTGGCTGTATTTTTAGGGTTGCTGGAAGTTGAACCACCAATCAAGTCTTACATTTTTTGCTCTGTTTTTAGCTCTATCCATTTTCCTGTCATTTCTTTAAAAAAAAAAAAAAGCATCGTTGCACCACAATGCTTCATCAATATTTCATAATCTAACCCTACTTTAGACTTCACAACTTTGTCTCTGTCTTTAATATTTCTTGACAAAATTTACCACAGTTTAGGGAATTTTCATGAAAGAAATTCAGTGTTATTCCATCAGATTCAGTATCTGAAAACAACTCGTATGGTTTTGTTTCCACTTATAGATACTAATAAATTGTGCATCTCATTTAAGGCAGTTATATTCAGAGGAGCTTTTCTTTTTTTTTTCTCTTCATCCACTCAAACAGGAGTGAAGCGAGCAGATTTTGACAGATTGCCCTCATTACGGCCGTCACATGAACTTCTATTAAAAACCCAAAGACAGTCTCTTACATTATGATCCATGACACAGACATCTTTGGGAATAAAATGTGCATTTCCAATCTCCTGAGTTTTACTGTTGATCACTTTTATGCTACTAATAGTACAACAATTAGATAAGCGAGTGCAGACAACGGATGGATTGACGGACGAATACTTTAGTGCGGCTCGGCGTACTGTAACTACAGGCAACCTGACACGCAATCAAACAGAACAGAAAATAAATGTCTTTTTGAGCTCAAAGAATGAAATGGCAAAAGACGAAAGAAAAAGAAATAATGAAAGTAACCCTTCATCATTTTTGAACAAAAGCAAGAAAAATGGACCATTCTGACAGCATCTATAGAACATCCATCACTCATAAATTAGATAACCTCCAACTTGCTTGCCAGAGGTAATCAGTCAAAGTTGTAACGTTTCTTTTCAATTGGAAACGCTGCAAATCTAATTCGGCATGAGCTTCTAATCTTCCAAATTTCATTTTCTGGGAGAAATGTGTTGCCGCCTGCTTGCGCTACGGAAACAATGAGTGGAGGAGACTGGTTTTAATTTAACAAAGTACTCTTACATGGTGTGATAGATGCTGTTCCCAACTGCGCCAGGGGCAAGATATACCTCTTTATATTTTGCAAACATGCGCTACAGAGTCACAGAACAGTGGCGTTATCAATCAGCCTCATGCGAATATGAGCAGTGTTGGTTAATTCAGTCTGCAAACATGGGATCGTAGCTCTTTTTCCAGGGAACCATGGGCACCAGCTGCCAGTCTCAATCATAACTCATCTTATCAGCGGCTGGCCAGTCCTGCGCTGCATGAGTGGGGAGCACAAGAAGCAAAGAATACCATTTCATATCCCTAAAATGTGGGTTTTTACAAGAAGCCAGGACAATTTATTTAAACAAATCATTCCAATAACGGCATTCATTTGCAGATGATTTAGTTTTCTACTCTGTAAATATTAACTTCCAAGTACTTTTTTACTTTTTAAAACGAAACATGTCCAACACTTAACCAGCAAATGTTACGGTGGCAAGCAAACCTGACGTGCTATTAACAATATCACAAATGCCTCTTAAACATTTACATTTCAACACAGGGAAGAAGATTGCTCTGTAGAGTCACGATGAAGATTTAAGGCAGAAAGTGACGAGGCAGGAGCATGTGGATTTAAGAGGTTGAGGCGTTGGGAAGAATTTACAGCGTTTCTGTTGTAATTACTTTGAACAATGTACAAAATTGAGCAAATATGCAGGCATTTTGTAAAACTTTGATTGTTGTCGTCTAATGTAATAAGTAATCAGTTCTTTTGTCATGAGTGTATTTTGAAGTCTAAAACCATATCGTACATCTGAAAAACATTTTTTGGGAAAATATATGGTGAAAAGATTTACTTGGAAAATGTATGTCTGTAAACGTCATTTCTTGAAAATATGCATTTGAAAACTAAAACCGTTTTTTCTATGGCTGCAACACCACAATTTTAGATTTCCTTATTTTGTAAATGGAGCTGTACACTAATACACTTATTAGTGTGCAGCTCTAATAAGTGTGTTTACTAACACACTTGGTGCAAATGTGCTCAAAACTGTTAAAACTCGATTGTCGTTATGGAAACCAGTGTGTCACGTTCTGATTACGTTTTTGAGACGGTGAGTTTTAGAGATATTTGACTTCCTTTAATGATACGGCCCACATGTTTGTTGGTGAGATACATTTTTAATCTCCTCCAGCCTTGTTTATCACAGCTCAACTTGATTTAAACTTTTTTTGTTAATATTGTTACTGTTTATTCTGATTCCAGAAATGAGGAAATTTAGGGGAGTAGCTGTTTCTCTTGCAGCCATTTATGAAGCTTAACATCCAAAATCTTCACTTGGATGGCAGTTTCTCTCGTCTTTTCCTTTTTGAAGAGTGGCTGATACAGACGGGACTTCATGCTGTGTGTTTCGTTTATACCCCACTGGAAAACAAAGGCATTGACGATTATATCACTAATGGTTTTGCTATGAGATCTTTTTCACACACTATTGGGGCACGGTGGTGGCACGAGGGTAAAGTGCATGACCCATGTCTCAGAATAATCTTAGAAATCAAATTATTAGTTAATTACCGCTAATGAATTTTATTAAAGGGTAATGTGCATAGAAATTTAATGCACATAACATGACAGCAGCCACTTCATTGGGTGCAGCATGCTAGTGATGGGTTGGATCATCTTTCGCCTTCTGAACTGAGCAGATTCAAAAAGATGTCAGAATTTTTTCTGACATATTTTTCGACTGCACAGGGGATATAATCAAGTTTGTCCCAAACGTTTTGGATTGAGTTTTGGTGATTGTGGAGGCCCCTGGAGTGTCATTGTCATTTTCAAGAAGCCAGCCTCTCAAAATTCGCCGAGTTCCTGCCATGTGATTGGCTCAGTGGAGTTGACGAGTAAGTGAACAGGTGTGTGCACTAAAGTCGGCAGCGAGTGTATGTTTTCCCTTATTTATGAGTGATGAGGACACATATGGAGACATTGTGTGCATCTCAGAAAGATTGAAAATCACTGTTAATGTCATAAAAGTCAATGAGGAGCAAAAATGTCTTTTTGCTGCAAATTAGAATATTACATAAGACCACTTTAGAAAAGAAGGGTTGTAATACTGGCATGTTGTGCTGACAGTCACTGACACCCTCCATGAGAAAGGAAAAACTCAAGGTCATTGCTAAAATAAATAAATAAAAAGCTGGCACTTTTTGTGCACGATTTAAGCAGATTAATGGGAAGTTGAGTGGAAGAAAAAAATGCGATGGAAAAAAATTGCACAACCAGTAGAAATAACTGCAGCCTTGAGAGGAATATGAAACAAGGCCCAGTGAAGAGTTTGGGAATTCACAAAGTAAGAGATGTGTGCAGTGTGTGTGGAGTGTGTGTGTGTGCATTACATTTAATAACTATAACAATAAGTTGTAACAGTCAACTTCATAACAGTCGATGACCCTGAAACGTCATTTTGAAACTAATTATAACAACAGATTTCTTTAGCTTATCTTGTTTATTGTTGTTTTTTCCATGCCTACTTACTAAAGCAACATAACCCCATCCCATCCTACGAACAATAATTAAAAAAAAAAAAAAATCAGTCTGCAGGAGAGGTGACATATTCTGTCCATCTACCAAACTTTTTACAGTGCGGTGAAACGAAGGGATTTGAGTCTGCACGAAGAGCCGGTCGTCCCTCGGGGACCTCGTGTGCTCTTCGAGGATGCACGCTGCAAAAAAATACTCATCACGCAGGTCATTAGACATGTAATGAGTGAGAAAACGTCCATTTTCCTTCTCTGAAAGTGAGAACCTACAATCGGGTGAGATATTGTGCCTTTTGTTTCCTGTGTGAAACAGCCCCTCTCTCTTTTTTTTTTATTCTTTCTTTTCCAGACGACGTTGACCGCGATCTTTCACATCCTTTAAGGAGGCGTACTATTAATGCCTGTTGTACTTGAATCCATACGTACGCGAGAGATTTTTTTCTGTCCATCTATCTTTCCAGCGCGCAACAATTGACCTGCTTAATTTGACGGGGAGGAGGGGGGGGGTGCCTAATGGCTTTGGAGAATCAACAGTTTTTTTTTTCCCCCTTAAACGGGATTTTTCTTTTCTTTCTTTCTTCCCTTCTTTTTCAGCGCATCTCTCTCTCTGAAGTCATTCTCCGTTTCGTGCACGGCAGCAACCAAGGACAGGAGAGCATCAGCAGGGAGAGAGAAAGGTGCCTCCTCTCCTCTCCGCTCCGCTCCTCTTCTCTCGTCTCCTCGCCATTGCGCTCATTGTGTCGCTGCTGAATCGCTCGTCAGCGCGAACGCTCCTGTGACAAGGAGGCTGCTGGAAGAAGAAGAAGAAAAAGAAGCGGAGGGACACAAACACGGACAAACCTATGCGTGGATTTCGGCTCTTTTTCCCTTCGCCAATGCAAAAGGAAATATGCAGCGAAGCTTCACCTTGCTCTACACCAGTTTACTGGGGATATGCTTGGGTTCGGGTTCAAGTTTCCCAAGTAACATCAACATAGGTGAGGATGGGTTACACCTTTTGCTAGAAAAGAAAAAGAAAGGGACAACTTTGTGTGTCTTCTCTTGTGTTTCTAACCTGACTTGCCTCTGTCTCTGAATTTGAACCATGAACTCCTGGTTGTTTGCTGCTCAACAGGAGGATTGTTCCCCAACGTTTCGCACGAATATGAGGTGTTTCGGTTCGCCCTCTCTCACCACCAGGACATCCCCAAACTGGTGTCGCATGTGGATATGGTCATAATGGGAAATAGCTTCTCCATGACATATGCCTGTAAGTAGTAATCGATCGGCAGAAACTGGTCAAAGTCCCCCCACTTTAATTGCTCTCCCTCTCCTAGTGTTGCAGCATCTGGAAGTCCGTAGAGACGGAGAAATGCTGTAGTCACTCATGTTTCAGACGTGCTGCAAAGCGACTGTCGGTCCGTTATCTCAGTAACTGTTGCGTGGGACTTATTTTCCCACTGCATGATTCCAGCCCCGTTTGCGCGTAGGGGGCTAGAGCGCGTCGGTGGAGGACTTCTGACATGTAAAGTCATCTTTTTTTTTTTTTTACAGCTACAAACATTTCGTTTTATTTATTTATTTATTTATTTATTTTAAGAAACACGTCAATTGGAAATCCGAATTTGCCAAGTTTTTTGCTAATTCGATGTAATTGTGGAACAGCAGGTCAAATATTGACAGATCAGATTTTTTTGTTCTGTTCATAAAATGCATCGAGTCTAAATTTGCTGTCTATAAAAAGCAAGTAGAGCGGGTTTTTTTTCAATGTTCTGAGTTTAACAAATATCAATACATTAGAAAAACCTTAACTGCAAAGTCAGTATATTTTTAATGCATATATATGCATTAAAAATATACTAAATATGCTAAATAAAACTCCACAATTGATGACATTAGAAATTATAAATACCTTGCAAACAATTACAGGTTTATAGCCTAAATAAGTCCACGGTGTAAGTAAACTGCTGTGTTCCTCCACACCAGTAGGGGGGCTCCAAGAGCACCCTAATTTTCACTAAAGTCACGTTTACAAATGTCTGGCTAACATATCGGTATAATCATCGGTAAGTTCTCTGACTCACGCTTGTTAACTTCTGAATTTTAAAAAGCTACAACAGATTTTCTCTAAAAACACAAATATGTAGGACTAGTAGATTGTGCTATCTGTAAACGTCATTTAACACGATTTGCGAAAAACAATTATGATTATTTTTTTTTCAAACTAGAATATGTCTAAAGTTAAATGCATATGCCACAGAAGTTCAAATACGGCGATTAGAAAGATCCACCAATAACAAATATAGAAATATTTGATGCAGAATTGAGGATAATCTCTTAGTCCCTCTGTTGGATTTAAAGTGTTTTCTTCTCTTCTTTTAAAAAAATCAGTTCTTTACAGAGTCTGAAAAAGGTTGATCAGTTCAATTCTATTTTTTTTAAATTATTCCACATTTTGGTGAGAAAGAAAACAAAGAAACATAATGCAAATCAGGGATGTTCTGAACCCTGAGTGAAGAAGGGACGCTTTACCGATTCAGCATTCACATCCATGCTCAAGATCAATATTTTAGCATGTTTGAAACTCACTTTTGATCTGAGGAGCCAGACGGATGCGAGGCCACCTTTAATGAACCCACGTGACGGCGTTTCAAATGAGCAGCAGTACGTCGTCCAATGCCTGGAAGCATAGAGACTTAGCTGCAGCACATTTGCTCTGAAACTCTGGATTCAGTGGCGACGTTTTTCCCCTCTGGGTGATGATGTGTGTCATTATGCCAGTCTAACAATAGTTCCAAGTCTAAGCTCTGCAAGACAAAAAAAAAAAAAAAAAACTGCTTCCTTTCTGTTAACTCTTGCCCCTTATCTGTATCCATAAAATTTGGTGCACACCTTAAGGCTTTACAGTAACCGTGAGTGTAAAAGCTTGCGTTTTTAAAACTATACGAACATTTTGTTGCACCATTGCTGTAGACATGAGAAGCCAACGAAAGTGTTAGAATGACCAGCACTTTATGTGGCTGTGTGAAACATGGAGAGATGCAACGTTGTCCTTCTACCTTCCTCTTGCTGCACACTGTCTTTCAGGTGGATGAATAACAGCGATTAATGTCTTCCCTCACTTGAAAGAGCAACGGTTTCTAGCTTTCCTGAAATATTTCTACTGAGTCATGGTGTGAAAATTAAACAATCCCATTAGTCTTATTTTGGCAACCTTTTTTTTTTTGTTTTTCTAAATTACATTTTGAAATCTATGAGCAGCACGTCTGTTAATCAGCACACCACTGACTCGCCACTGGAGTAAACGGCCTGATTAATTAACCATCTAACACAATCTTTTCATTTCGTTGCTTATCTAAAAATAACCAGAAAACTAATAAAAACGTTACATTCAACACACTAAGCACTTGTAAAACATCGACCAGAAGGGTCATACTGTGATGGTTTTTGTTGTTGTTGTTTTAAATGTTTCTGCTGTATGTAATTAGGTTACTCTTTTCTGTCAGTCAGTCGCTGTCACGTACCTATTTTTTTCTGCCACGCTTTTCCTCTTCCCGTCTTTGACTCAGTCACATTTTTTGCGAAGTCGCACACTCCACTTCCGGGAGATACCCTTTGACAAGTGAGTCTGCGTGTGTGTGTCTGCACTCGGTGATGCTGCCTCGTTGATAGACATTCCCTTGCTACTCTCGCATGCCACACTTCCAATTTGAAATCTCTCTGGGATTTACAGAGCGAGTCTTTAACCTATTTTCACTTACGTAGATGTAACTGAGGATAATAAGGAAAAAAAAGAAAGCCAGCCAAAATCCAGGCATTTGAAATTTCTCACATCAATTCTTTTAAGGTTGTAAACCTTCAGTAGTTTTTCTCAGGGTCTTTTTTTTTTTTTTTTTGCTTTGAAGTGGTATGGAGAGAAAGCAGCATTGCTATCAGAGATACAGGAAGAAATCGTCTGGTGTGTGTGGAATAGATCAATTTTCGGCTTGATTGGCCCTGACCATACTCAAATGGGAACATCGACACTCCGATCAGAGAAAGCGTCATACCTAAGCGTTACCAAGATGCACTGCCAAGAGCATTCTAGGTGTGGAAGTTATTGGGGGGGAGGGGGGATAGTCAAAGTTAACAGTTTTCAGTATCAGTGAGATACCTGAGATTAAATCAGAGGAAGCACAGAGATGGGGGAAACTATTTAAAAGGAATGTTGTTTTCTAAGACATCTTTAGACTTGTCTTTTGGTTATTTTTGCTAAGAGACGGTGAGGTGGATTTTTGCAGATAACAGGAAGGCTGACTAGTGCGAGAGCAAATTTGCACTCTTTGTGCCTGTTGGGCTGGATTTTGAGATGTGGATCGGGAATGCCAGAGAGGGAAAGGACATGCACACGGACACAGCTAGTTTAATAACACCTACTTTAGTTTTAACATTTAGTTTATTTACTTTAGGTCAACATTTAGTACCATCTATACTTCGTAGAATCAAACATGGAGAACCAACATTTAGTTTTACGCCTTCTGGTTTTCTTTTTTCTCTTTTTGCTCTTTCTTTTGGTTTATTGTTTTGTTTGCATTTCCTTCTAATTCATGTAAAGCACTATGAATCGCCTTGTTGCCGAAAATGCGCTATATAAATAAAATTACCTTACCTTACTTTGTTAATCACTAACAGGATGAAAAATGGAGCTTTAAACATCAAGCCCTGTCTTTATCAAAGGCTGGAGCTATTACTGCATATGCTCCTAGTGATATAATTTAAGACCACCGCTGGAAAACCTGTAAAGATATTTGAATTTGGTTCTTATATCCTTACATTGTAGTTCTTTGAGAGAAATTGGTGATCGAAAAACAAAGAAGAAATTGGCCACAAAGTTTAGACGGACGGATCAGCACATAATGTCAATTATTGATAGTCACCTCTGCCTTTTTGCAGATTAGGGATTTTCTACCTTTTAAAGAAAGATCAAGCTTTAATGCCTGACTGGTGCACAGAAAAAAAGAGACTAAATTCCCTACGCACCTTGTTGTCTAAGGATCCGCTAGTGAATGGGTGATGCCTCAATGACCACTCCATGCCAACCTTCTGCCCTTTATATGCCAGAAGTGAGGCTGAACCAAGATGCAAAGGCGGCTTCCTTAATGAGTCAGTCCTGTACCCAGACGAGAGTTCAAGGGGGGAAATGCTGCTGGTGAATGATTGTGGGGATTTCACGACAGGTGGTGGCGGTGGTCGTGCTGCGGTGCGTTCGTTGTCTTTGTTGTCGAGACAGCGGACTGTGAAAGTGTAATTCAGATGGCTAAGGTGCAGGATGATAAAGTGTGGATGACATTCTGATCTAATTGGGGATTCAAAGCTGTCCGAAAGGGGTTGTGCGAGAAAGGATCACGTCTAATACCTGTTAGATTCAGCCCAGAAGGACATCTACAGATTCTCCATCATGTTCTCTCAATCTGGCCCCTCTCTGTCTCTTCCGTGGACAGATTTGACATCTTCCCCCCCTCGTTTCTTGTCAGACTCTTTCCCCCGTACCCTCAGTCCATGGTGGGTTTTGGTATAAGCTTGTCAGAGGCATTCAAAAAGCAAAGAGGGATGACAAAAATGAAAATGACACCTCGTCCTGCTGCGTGTCACTCGTTCTAAAAGGCTGCAGAGGATAGGGAGACGGTTATGGGAAAAAGAAAAAAAAATCAACAACAACAAAAAAAAAAAATGAAACAAAATGGCTCTGGGGCTTGCTTATAATGAGTCAGACAAGGAGGGGGGGGGGGAACAAAAAAAAAAATCTGTCTATTCCTGGATTTCTATTTAGCATGCCTATGCGGAGGAGTGGATGTGTTTCTGCATCTGTGTGCCCATCTTGTGTGGGAAGCTTTTTTTTTTTTGAGTGAGTGACAGTCTACCCCTGTAAGCTTTTAATTCTGGGAAGCAGCCCAGAGGTCGGGGGGAGCGGGGAGACTGTGGAGTTGCACCACTGGGGTGAAAAGCAGCAGGGGGTGAATGGACCCTTGTGCAGCAGGGATGAATGGAGTTCCGGATCATCAGCTGCCATTTATGACCAGCCGCTTCCTCGGAAGCACCCTGCTTACACACACACACACACACACACACACACACGCATATATGCAAATACATGATCACTGACACACCTGCCAAAAGGCTAAGGGAGGCTGAGTGGGCTGGAAATTCAACCCTTATGGTTTTCCTGTGTGTGTTTGCATTAGCATGGGGCAAGTGGGAGGTAAGATTTATGTAGAGCAGAGTTTATAGAAA